AAATGGAAATGGTAATTAATGCAGTAATGCTGTTACACCTCGAGTGTGCAAATCCCATTGACTCGCCGCGCCACGGGGGTTGCCGGGCGAACGGGGACCAGCGGCGAGCGCCTCGGCCGCCGGCTCCCTCCCTCCCCTCTCCCTCCTCCCGCGGTCCCCGGGCGGGGCGTCCGGAGAGCCCGCAGGGGCTTGGCCCCGCTACAGGAAGTCGGGAGCCGCTCGGCGGCTCTTGGGACTCCCGGCTCTCCGCCCTCCGTCAGCTAGGCTGGTGCGCCGCTCCCGCCTCTCCCGCCGAGCCCAGTGCGCGCCTCACGCCCACCTCCCCTCCTGCTCCGCGCCGCTCTAGCGCCGGCAGAGCCTCGGTGCTCTGAGGTGCCACCGAGCCCTGAGGCACCCCGGAGAGGCGAGCTCACGAGCAGGGAGCAGCAGGTGACGCGGCGGCCTGGAGGTCGAAGGGGCCCTGCGCTCTAGAACGACCGGTCTTCCCGGCTCGCGGCCGTCGGGTCTGGGCTTCGTCTCCTCCTTGCTCCCCGCCGAGTGCGGTCCGGCCGGCTGGCAGAGTTTTCCTGAAGTCCCTTCCAGCCCTGCCGCGAAGGCACGAATCGCGTTTGATTGCTTCTCTTCCCGACCCAAGAGTGGAAAAGTTTGGAAATGGTCACTGGCCCGCCAGAAATAGCGCAACTCCTTCATTTTGTAGCAAAGAGGAAACGCGGGCTTCCTTCTGTCTCTGCACCGCCTGAGGACCCGTTCCCTTCCCCGACTCGGACCAGATTCTCGGGGCCTTTTGGGGGGTCGGCGAGGATGCCCAGAGCAGGAATTCGAGCGAAGAGGACAAGAATCTAGGGAGGCCTCCCAAGAACTTCCTGGGCCCGAGGCCCTTCCAGCTTCTCAAGAGCACAACTCCGACACCCCGGCCCAGGGACTGGCAGGGGGCCGCAGGTGACAGCTAAGCCGGAGGCAGGGTCGGGGGCTGGGCGAGGAGGGGGTGTCGAGGCTCTCTTTTCTGCCTCCAGCCCCCTTCCCGGTGCCAGGGCAGGCGCCACCAAATCGCTGGTCCCGGAGCGCACAGAGCAAGGGTTAGGCCGAAGCGACCGCGAATCTCCAGTTCCGCGTCTACGCCCGCCCCAGAATTTCTAGCGATTCCCCCCCGTCCCCAACTTTATTATTTTCTTAATTACTCTGCAGCTGCCCAGCGCCAACGCTTCTGGTTCCAGGACAAGTACCATCCCCGGAGCGCCAAGAGAGTAACCGGCCCAAATAGTGCCCCCAAAGCTGAGGGGAGGGTCTCAAGGTCAGCGCAGCGCCAGAGGCTGGGAGGGCGCGCCCCTTGGCCATGGCGGGAGGAAAGGCCCTGGCATCTCCTGTACCCAAATCTAACGTGCCCCTTCTGTCTTCCCCTCTCACACTCACACACACGCACAGTCCACTCAGCAAATAAAGAGACGAGAGTTCTTAATACGAATCTTGTGAATTAAGTGATATTCAAATTCAAATGACTTGAAATTCATTGTCCGCTTGAACAATGGTGACAAGACCAGAGCCAGGGAGGAGCCGAAGGAGAGTCCTTGACGGCAGTCCTAGCACCAGCCTCACTAAGTTTCCCGGGCCCTGGCAGTCTCAGTTCTCTCCAGAGAGGCTGCCCACGAGGGAGATGCTTCTCTAGGTAGCGCGGTGTAATGAAAGTCCCCTAGACCCTCCTGACTGAAACATCACCCTGCTTAGGTGGCTGGAAAACCCAGGAGGTTATCTAGATCCAGTTTTAAAATGCAAATGTTAAGAGGGTTTCCGATGTCAGTCACTCACACCTCAGTGAGATTTACTTGAAATAGCTGGTGTCTCCCAGTATAAAGTTGGTGGTTCTGAGGAAACTGATATTTAAATGGGAAAACTTAGAAAATGGAAGGGAATTAAAGATTTCTGAAGACAGACCCAAAGCTGGGGAAGGGCCTGAAAGGCTGCGGGAGTTCTCCATGAGAGGCCAGGAGCGGAAGGTGGCCAATGATCTCGACTCTCCCAGAGGATGTGGCCAGTGTGCCCCTGAGCCAGGGGGCTGCCAAGGTTTAAGAAAGAAAACCTAACTAAAACCCAAACAACTCTGCCCCTGCCGCACCAGCGCCACCCACTGCCATCTGGAGCCCGTGTTGGTCAGGACTCCAGGGTCCTAGAAAATGACGAGTAGAGGAGAGGTGGGGGTGAGCGTGGCATGTTTTGGGGTCAATTTTTTTGTTCCCTGGAAGCAGTCCCCGCAGGCGAGCGGCCCGGGCCCTCTCTGGCACCCTTGCCCTTGCTCCAGGGAGGCCGAGGCTGCGGGCAGAAGTCCGGGACCCCCAGGCTGCGGGACGCGGGCAGAGCTCCGAGGAGTCCACGGAGTCGGCTCCCGCAGGGTCCCTGTCGCCCCGCGCGCCTCGGGAGTTCGCGTTCTCCCGATGACAACAAGAGTCTGTCGAGGGTGACTCCTGACTGCTCTTTGCTGCGAGTAGAGCGCTCGCGCTCGGGAGAAGCTGCTCTCCTCCACTCCGGGCGGGCGGGGCGCTCCTCTCCCTACAGGTTTGCTTTAATGATTTTCTTGAAAGAAAGAGACAGTTGTGAGCAAACAGGTTTGACAGGGACTGCTCCCCCCACCCCCCACCACTACACACCCCCCAGGGGATTTCTTTTTGTCTGCGCCTGACTTCAAAGTCAGTAATCGGCCCCTGTCAGCGGCGTGACGAGGAGGATTTCGGCTGTTAGGGCGAGTCGCAGCCGCGCACCTCGGCGGAGCCTCTGCGGCCCGCGGGGCGCGGGAGGCTAGGCTGAGGCAGGCGCTGCGGGGCCGAGGCTGGGGCCAGGCCTAAGGAGGACAGAGAGCTGGACATGGCCCGACTAGGAAGGAAAGAGACGAGGTGGAACAGACACGGCTAGAGCTAGGTCTACGGCTTTAGGTCCCGGGACCTGCGCTGGGCCCCGCGCTCTCAGCTGGTTGGAAACTAGTCCCAATCACCCAGCCGCGGGCACACTGGCGCCTCCCCGCTACAGCGCACCCCAGTTTCCTGGAGCTCCTTTTGGAGTCCCAGGGCCGGGCGCAGTCTGAAACCCTGGTTTCAGTTTTCCAGCTTCCTCCGCCGCCGCCGCCCGAGGCCTCCCCTCTTGGACCCACCTGGTATTCCTTCTCAACCTAACCCAGCCGGGGAGTCTCCTGGGCACCCGTGTGCGCCAGAATCCTCCTCGGGCCGGGGCGCTCTGTGCACCTGGGGCGCTGGTGCGCGGGGCTCGGCGGGGAGACACACAGACCCCTGTAAGCTTCATCTTAGGAGATGTTAAGGGACACTGAGCTATGAGGGAGATCAGAGCGGCTGACAGGACTGTCAGTTGGGGTTATATCAGACAGCGAAACCGCGGTGCCTCCTCCCTAGGCCTCCTGGGCTTCCTAGGGGGAGGAAGGAGGGGCCTTCCCTAAGCGCCTAGAGCCCCCAGACCGGACGGCCACCAGAGGCAAGTCACTTCCTAATTGTCTCGATTTGTAAGAGGGTTTTGTGATGCTAAGTAAGCGTGGCGCAGCCCGCCCGGCCTCCCCTTACACGTCCCCAGCCCGCTTTTGTTTACCTTCGCCTGATCGCTCATTTATTTATCTATCTATTATTTATAGGCGTCCCCTCCTATTCAGCGCCCGTGTATGTTAATTGTGTTATACCATTTAATTCTAACATCGGTCTCAAAAGAGCTCTTAATGAGAAAAGCATATACAACACGGATCACTTTGCTATTCAGCTCAGCCAGATGGACAACTGCTAACTTTTTTTTTTTTAATAATGAAAATCCCCCTTTGACAAAGGGGCTCGGATGAATAGGCTCCAAATAACACCTCAAACACTTCTAATTGTTTTGAGGACAATATGCTAATCGGTGGTTTTTCGGCTTCGTGTCTGTTGACAACGTTTCCCTTGCACTTCCAGCCACCGACTCCTTTGGAAAAAGCAGAAGCAAGCGCAAAAATCCCTCAACAGAAGCAGAAAGCAGACAAATCGCTAGGCTGGCCCCCACCTCCATCCCGCACCACATCAAACCCAGTGGGCAAAGCACCCCACCTGCAGAAAAACATGCAAGAGCATGGCTTTGGGGGTCAGACTGGTGAGAGATAGGGGTGAGGGAGAACCCTTCGATTCTGAGAACAAGTTCCAAAGAGTTGGGCTGGAAGGCCTCAGAAGGTCCCTTCTCCCCTATGAAAAACAGAGCAATCTTCAGCTAACATTTGCCCAGTGGGGAAAGGAAAAGTCTCTTTTTTGCTTTTTTGTTAAACACCAAGGGCTGAAAGTTATTGAATTTTTACGATTTTTTTTCACTCCATGCCTGAGCCGTGTCGCCTCCCTTTTTCCTTGGATCCCGCAGAATCTTGGTAAAAAGTCTCCCATAGTCCAGAGCAGGGACCTAAGACACAGTTTTCTAGGTTTCCTAGACTTTGATTGTTTAACTTAGGAACAAGTATGGAGCCCCAAATCCCAAGAGCCAGCAGCAGCGTTCTCAAGCATCTTTTAAAAATACCAATTGCACCAGTCTTCCCCCATGCATTGAACTTAAACACCCACTGCAGGACTCCGTGCCTGGTGCGCAACTGGTTCCCAGTAGACTGCGCTTTTTTCCATTCTTTCGGAGTTTGGTTTAAAAGAAAAGAAAATGCACCCAGGTCTCAGAGGTCTGGGTCGGCTTTTGTCTTAGCTCATTCGCTCCTTGAAGTGGTCTGACCACTTTGTGAAGGCATGGAAGGAGTGACGTCTGAGGGGCCGATACCTTTGTCCAGCCTCTAAAGGCAAATAGCGGGTCCAGAGGGCACGATCGATTGGGACAAATCCCAGACTCTGGGCCCCTTTGCATCTGGCCTGCAAGCCACCAGACTCGGCCCACGCAAGGCCAGCCATCACTGCTAGTCACTCTATGCGCTCTAAGCCTCCGAAGACCCGACTTCACCGCCCCTCAGGCAGGGCCTCCTGACTTCAGATTTTATGCACATCAAAGGTTACTTTTTGCAATGACAGATTGTCTTTATTCAAAACGTCTTTGTTCAACAAATGAACAGAGTAAGGAGGTGAAATCCTTCTAGGTACATTTCCAAGACATCGTCAAAACATTTATGACCATTTAGGATGTTTTTATTCTTTTAATTTTTGTTCACTTTCTACTTCCTGACTTCATAACCCGACATTCTGTCTAAAAGTAAACTTAGGTCTCTAGGAGCACTGCTTTATACAAAGAAAATAATCATGTGGGTCCCTTTGTTTTACCTTTAAAGAAGCAAACACTATCATAGCATGATTTTAAATAGAAATATTTCCCTTTCTGTAGTTTTAAACTTTTAAGCCTTTCCCCCCACACATAGAGCAAATGGCACCTAGTTGTGTCTGATGGCAAAACACAGAGACACAGCTAACTCTTCAGGGTGCAAAAGAAAAAAAATATATATATATGCATATTCTAGATATAATACCAGGATCTGGGCGTTCTGGAGTCCAAAGCCCATCAGAGGAGAGAGAAGGGGACATAAATAAAGCAAAACTGCCTACTTTTTTTGTCCAAAGGGGGTACAGTTGGAGATTTGTTTTGGGACGTCGGGGTAGGGGCAGCTGTATAGCTGTCATATGTTCGCAAGTTTCTGGCACCTGTCTGCGCCTTGGGTCCGGGAGGATGCCCCTACCATCCCCCTGGAAGAGAGGCAGAGTCTGGGGTAGGGTAGCGGGCAGCGGCACAGCTGACCCGGAGGCGTCTGCAGGCCCCGGCTAGGCGCAGAGGACAGGGTGCAGACCCCGCTTCCAGGTCACCCTCCAGGTCTGGCGGGCTGGGCTGGGGGTTACATGGCCGTGGCATGGGCTGACGAATAAGGGTCTATGCCAGTCTTGGTCATGCCCGGGAAGAGGATGTAGGCGACGGGGGGCTGCAGGGTGGAGGCAGACCAGGCGGTACAGTTACAGGGCACCACGTAGCCCGGATTGGTGGGGGACGGGTGCGTGTGCGTGTGTTGGCTGGGGCAGCTCAGGCTGCCGAAGGCGCCGTTCTGGTAGCCCAGGGTGGAAGCGTAGGGCAGTGCGCCGGTGGCCAAGGTGTGGGGCACTTCACCCATCTTCTGGATGGCGCTTGAGCTAAACTGCGCGGGGTCCAGCAGGGAGTAGGGCGCCGAGGCTGGCGGCAAGAAGGCCCGGGCTTTCTCGGGCGCGCTCAGGAGGCCGTCGGAGGCCCCCACGGGCAGGCCGGCCGCCTTGAGCGGGTCCGTGTCGCCCAGGTAGGGCAGGGGGAAGACATACCTGTCTTTCTTAAGCAGGTTCTTGGGCTTGCGCCGTGGCCGGTACTTGTAGTCAGGATGTTCCTTCATGTGCTGGGCGCGTAGCCTCTTGGCCTCATCGATGTACGGCCGCTTCTCTGCCTCGGACAGAAGCTTCCATTCGGCGCCTAGGCGTTTGCTGATCTCTGAGTTGTGCATCTTGGGGTTTTCCTGGGCCATCTTGCGCCGCTGGCCTCGGGACCATACCATGAAGGCGTTCATGGGTCGCTTGATGTGGTCTGAAGGTTTGGACATGGTCCCGGAGGCTAGGCGGGTGGGGGTGGGGAGTGTAGGGGCTCTGCAGGCAAGCCCGAGCGCGGTTGTCTGTCTGCCTGTTCGTCCGTCCTGAGCCGGTGCTCTGCGCTCCCCTCGCCTCCGCACCGCTGAGGGGAAGCCAGAGAGAAGCGCTAACCTCGCAAAGTTCAGCTGATCATGCCAGTCCCGGCACCCAGGCAGGCCCCCGGGCGGGGGGGGCGAGTGAGGACAGGAGGGGCGGGGGAGGAGAGGGCAGCCGGCCGGGGGCTGCCGGCACCAGAGGCTGGGGCCCAAGTACCAGAGTCTCTGGGATTAAGTGGCCAGGTAATTTGCTGGCGAGGGCAGGAAGCTCCTCCTTCTCCCCCTCTCCACCTTCGCCTTCTTCGGTTCTCTTCTCTCCTGTGTCTACCGCTGTGGTTCCCTCCCCCCTCCCGTGGTTTTCCCGGAGCTGCCTTGCCTAGCACAGCACCTGGCTGAAAATGCAGGGAGGATGGTGAACGGGAGCCAAAAGCGGCGAAGTTCAAAGGCGAGGTGGGCCCGGACAGCACGCACTCTGACATAAGCGCGGGGCGGTGACTCCCCAACCTGGGCGCCAATCAGCAGCAGAGAAGGCAAGGGGGCGCACCTGCCAACGCGCCCGGGGAGGAAAGAGAGAGCGCGACTAGTGGGGGCGGGGAGAGGTGTGAAGGAAAGAGCGAGGGAGAAAACAGAGCGGCCAGCTCAGGACTGGGGACTTGGATTCCACATTGTTTCTGGCACTGTCAACAAATAAAACTCTTCGTGCCTGTTTCCTTTCCCGGTCGTGCAAAGGAGAATTAGGCCTTCGAATACAAAGACCTAGGGAGGGGGCAGCAAAGCGAGTGAGCCGAGAGCGCGTGTTGATAAATAGGACAGCCTCGCCACGAAATGCAAGGACAGCACTTTTCCCCCCTTGTCAAAGATCCTCGGTAAAGAAAAAGAATATATCAAACTCAGATTAAAAAGCGAAATAAACTTTTCTAGCCATACCCTTGAGGTCCTTTGGCGGCGTTCTCACGGGATGCCCCTCGGGCTCCGCCTCCACCCCTGCCCCAAGATGTGGCGCCTGGGCAAAGCGCTGGGTCCTGGGCTAGCACAGCGGTGCGTTCCAAGCCGTTGCTGGAAAGCCTCGTGTCTGGCAGCGCAGTTTTCAAACCCTGGTGGGTGAGCTTGAAGAGCGCAGCGATCCGCTCTTCACTTTTGTGGAGAGGCTGGAGAATGGGATTTCTGTCATGATTCCTATTTACGATATTATTGTTTAGTGTTTTTAAACCTCCAACTTTCCCCCTACATCTGTTCATACGGGAAGGACAGCCTGGAGGCCGGGCCTGCTCCCGGTGGGGCGTGGGGGCTTTCCCGTTGCCCCTTCTGCAGATGCCCTAGAATGGAGTCTCAGGCTGTATCGGCACCCGGGGCCGATTTGTCCCTGGGCACCTCTTCCATCCAGCGAGAATTCGAGACTCGTTTCTTGCGTCAGATGAGCATTCTTAGGGTAAAAAGGACGAAATAACACGCAGAAGCAACCTGCGTGCCTGTTTCCTTTGAATAATTGCCTGCCCAATGTGAAATGCCCTTGGGGGAAATATTTATTAAATGGAAACCATTGTCCCAGGCCCAGCAGGACCTGCGTGTGTTCCAGGCTTATTGGCTTTTGCACCAGCCTCTCTCAGGAGGACGACCAGAAACGCATGGCTCAGCGGGCTTGGAGGGGTTGGTGGTGGGGGAGGCAAGCAGAAAAAGAGGAGGCAGGGAGAGAGGGGCTTTCTTTAGTATGTAGTATATCAAGTTTGAGGCGAAGGCTTTGCGTCTCTTTCCTACAATTAGACCCGTGGCATTTCTCATCCTGAGCGCACTCTTCAGAGAGCCCATTTTGCAGATTAGGAAACTGAGGTTGAGAAAGGCTAAGTGATTTGCCAAATAACTCCAGTGGGAAGTGGTGATGCCAGGTGTATGGGATTTGAAAACCCCTAATTTGTTTTCCACCCCACGCGGGAGCAGGTCTGAAGATTAGATGGTGCCGCAAGCCAAAGGAGCTGGCTATCCGAGCCATCGAAACCTGCCATGTAGATAAACCTCACTGGGACTGATCTTGACGCCTGCACTTGTTTCACTTATGCTCTGGTCGGAGACCTGGCTTCCCTGACAATAGACCTCGCGCCAAGTGTGCCACCTCTGCGTGGGCTTGTGAGCAGGTGCACAGTCTTTACGTTACTCTCAGCACCAGCCCCGGCCTTTATCCCGCCCTCTAACCCTGTTTTCTGCAAGAAGTTTCACTTAGCTTGGCGTATCAGGGAAGTAGAGGTGTTTTTCAGCCCAGTCGGGGAGGGTTTCAAGAGTCTCAGGCAAACCCTACTCAGATCCGACTAGCCTGCGGACTAAGCGCTGCGCTCAGAGCCTGCCGGGGATCGAGGTCTAAGAGCCAGGCAATTTGAGTTCCACTGGGCGATCTCTACGGATTGAGGAAAGAATGACAGAAATGCTCATATCTGCAGAGAGCTATAGCGTCTGGCAGAGCCCCGCTAACTCTCACTCTGGAACCCTCGGGGGGACACCAAACCCACACACAGAGTTAATGGGCTGATGCAAACCAACCTCTAAGAAACTGCTCAAGGAGGGGATCTGGCACAAGGTCGTAGACCCTTTCTTTCTTCGCAGCCTCTGAGCCAACTCATTCCAGTTGCCCCGAGGCAACTCCGGGCAAGCGTGCGCCCTTCTTCAGTTCCTCAAATTTCCTCTTCCACCTCCTGTCTGCGCTATTCTCTAAACATCTCACACTCCATCCTAGTTCGTAATCCAAGACTCCTGAGCGGATTAGTACAAAGGGGAAGCAATGGTGGGGTGGCAAGTTGTGGGCAGGGCCGGAGCCCCAGGCACCAAATGACTGCACCGACCCTGGGGGGAGCCAGTATCTCCTTGCTTATCTTGGCCTTGAGACTTGAACTCCGCGCTGGGAGGGAACTCAGGGTTGAGGGCCGCGCCTTCCCAGCCTGGCATCCCAGCGTCTCTAGGCGAACCGCGCAGCCGCTGACAACCCTTACACAGTGCTGGTTGGCTACCCGTTTATTCAAGACTCAGTTCTGGGCCCCTCGAAGGAGTTCCCATGATCCCGGAGTCTTTCCTGGTACTGTCTCCAACCCATGCCTCTACTTTCTTCTGAGCTGTCCCTCTAAGGTCTGCCTCCCCGCCAGGCCTAGACAACTGGGCAGACGTCCTGGAGAGGTGGCCCCTGGGGAGGGTCAGGAGGCTTGGTCACCGATGGAACAGGTCTTAGGACAAAGGTCGCCTAAACGCGCCTACTGCTTTATCCGAAACCTGAAGCTCTGGCCTCAGGCTGTCAGGCCACTCCCCAAAGCTGGAGACCTCCTTGAGGTGCGGCCTTTCCGCTTCCGCGTTTGCGGAAAGAATCCACGCACACCCTTAAGTACGTATGCGCACCTTTACGCAGCGCAATAACTCAAAGCACTCCGCGTGCCAGCCTAAGCCTTCTGTCTGGATACCCGAGCAATAGGGGTGCTGCCGGCAACTGTCCTTGTTCGTGTAGAAGTGAAGGAGGGACCTCGGAGGTCACGACCCTATATCCTTCTGGCTCCCCCTCCCCCCCGACTCCGCAAGGTCCTAGGTGCGCCTTCCTCTCTTGTTGCTCTGGGTCTTCTCAGGGAGCATCTCCGCTCTCCTTTCAACCAACTCCTTTCGGTACTTCAGGTCTCTTTCAAGGCTTCACCTCCTCTGCGGAGCCCTTTTTGATTCCCGTGCTGGGCTAAGACCCCTTCTTATGCTCTCACTCTCACACCCGCTCCATCTCATGCCCCTTTCCCAGCCTCGCGTGGAGCCCTGTCGCAGCCCGTGGAGTCCACCAGACTTCGAGCTCCTTGAAGGCAGCGGCTGCATGTTTTGAGTGCCCAGTGTCCGCACAACTCTGAGGGCAAAGAAGACGCTGGGTAGTTTCCTTCTGCTCCGGCTTAAACTTTTACAACAGGCCTTTCCCAGCCTTGCAGCTGCGGGGGTAGATCCCAGGTGTAGCCTGGTAGAGCCAAGCGCGGAAGCCCCGGGCCCCTGGGGCCCGCACCCACCTGCCTGGCCTCAGCGCTATGCCGCTCTCCAGCCACCACCTCCTCCTCTCTAGTGGGAAGAAGGTCTCAGTTCCGAGGCCTCCGGAACTGAGCGACAGCCGAGTGCAGAGAGGAATGCGCGCGCAAATGGTGACTTGGAGAACGCGGTCGTGGGGTGGAGGACGTGAGGAAAGCTTGCCACTCGGCTCGCGCCTGGCATGTTTTCGGAGGAGGCCACGAGAGTCACCCACGTTCGGATCTGCGGAGGGGCTGGGCACTCGCAGAACGCCAGTCCTGCCTGCTTAAAGCGGCCCCGCCGGGATTCCGGAGAGGAACTGAGGAAGTTCCAGTGTGGGTTTCGGGGAGCCTCCGCGCCGCCCCAGCTCGCTGTGGGGAGTGTTAGCGCGAGGCACTCTCAGGTGTTTACGAGAGTTAATCCAGCCCACCCATGAGCGTCGACAACCCAGGAGCCAATATTGAGGATAATAAATTGATCTTGGGAAATAATGCACCTTGGTTAAATTATAAACTAAATTTTTCTTATTACCAAAAATATTGTAATATTTGGCATCCCTGCTTTTTCTTTTTTCCTGTTTTCAGACTTTAGAGATATCCCATATCTCTAAAGTGCTCAAAAGGACGCAGGACTCTCTGGTCCTATTAGGACATTTTCTGATAATTGCTGTAGGATCTTCCCTCCAGGAGCCAGCCCAGCCCACTCGTCTTGAAATTTTTTAAAACTTCAAGTGTCCCTCGCAGCCAAGATGGCACAGGAGGGCCTGGCTTCCGCAAAGAAACAGTGAGAACGCGAACTTAACCGGGCCCCAGATGCCCGGAGTGCCTGCAACATCACGTTTGCAACGCGCAGCTGGAAGAGCGTGCTTGATTGGGCTGAAGAAGAACACGTCGGTCTCAACCACAAGAGTGTGCCCAGGTAAGGAGACATTTTGATACTTCAAACTGCCTTACCTTAACAGGGGTCTGTTTGAAGCAGAGCTCACGTAATTCACCGACTTGGCGAAAATTAATAGAGGATTGCTAACATTTGCACACATATCCCAGAAAATGGGATGGGTATGAGCAGGGGTAGGGCTTTGAAATCTTTGTATTCATTCATTCATTAAAAGGCTATTTATTGAGCACCTGCTATGTGCTAGGCGCAGTGATGGGATACAGCTGAACAAGACCTGCAAAGGAACTTCTCCCATGGAGCTTCCAGCCCAATGGAAGACAGACAAAAAACAAGAAATAAATCCTGGAGTGATTCCTGGTTCCAGCACCAAGTAGTTGCATCACTTCAGGCAAGGTACTTAACCTGTGTCCTGATCTCTTCAGCTGTAGTAGGTATAATGGATTATTATCAGGACTAAATGAGTTATTACAATGAAAGCCCTTAAAACAGTGCTTGGCATGTAGAAACTGCTCAATAAAGGTCAG